GTGAAAAGTTTATAAGTCGCCACTTACAGCACTATCTTAGGTACAAAGGTACCTAGGTATTGCTTCTTCAGTTACAAGATTGGTTACAGTGCAATTACTGCAATGGGCAAGCATAGTGACGATACCTGCTTACTGGAGGGCCAGTTACACACAGGTTCTGCAGAGGACCTCCATGGACCAGGTTACAAAGCAAGGCTGATGAAATGAAATGCTTGGCACAGTGCCAGATCTGCCAGACACCAAGAATGTATTGTCAGGAAACATCGAGGAGTAGGCAAAACATATTGCAGAGAGCTTGAAGCCAAAACCTCTCAGGGTGGAAGTGATGGCCAACTCCATTGGCAAATATGTGGAGACATCCATATTGTTGTGCTTGATAGCCAATGTCTTGGCCTTCATGGCAGAATAAACACCTTCCACAGAAGTCTCAGTGCTGCAGTATAAACTCAGACAGAGGTCATACAGTTGCAACTTGTGGCCATACAGGCTCAGACTGCTGCCATCATGGCTGCAGGTACCAGTGCTCAAAGGGGCTTGCAAGATGTTGTAGCTGTCCTGCAATCTGTCCACCATCAGATTACTCGGAGAGCTGGAGCACCATTCAGGCAATGGCTAGTGGCTCCCTGCAATATCAATTTCTCTCAGGATGCCATTCCTAAAACCTACCATTGTTCTGACATTGCCTGTCAGCCAGCCTGTCCTGACTAATTTTTACCTATGCCACGATAGTGTAGTTGGAAGCCAAGCCTACTCAGCACAGAGCTGCTAGGGGTTGTGCTCAAAAGTCATCAGCAGTGAACTCCACTGAAAATTGTCAGCCTTTCACTAGCAGAGATTGGGGTAGCACACCAAAGGAGGATGATGACACATAAAGGCACCAGGAAGAAGTCAGTGCACAAGGCAAATTTAATTAGTATTTGTATGGGATATGGCATGGTTTAATTTAGAAATTTGGCTCATTTTGTAGCAGCTTTTATGCTTATATTGAGGCCAACACAGTGATGCGATGGCCATGAGAGAGGGAATGTAAAGAGTCGGTGCATGGTAAATTTAAATTATGGTAACACTCAAAATGGTTCTTAATTTACAGCTATGGCAAAAAAGAGTAGTTTGCCACCCCCTTCCCTCTTGATCCTTCTCCTCCCTCCTCTAGCAGCTTGTCCTGCTTGGTGTGGCTCTGCTTAATCTCCCAGTCATGCTGTAGTCCAAAGAGCGGTCTACCAGCACACCCTTCCTGGCAAAAATTGGTTTGTACAGAAAAATACAGAAAAATAGTGTATAAGTAGAAATATGGATTAAGCAATATTTAGTAGCTATAAAATGAACAGTAAACTGTAAAATTGCTATTGCCAGAGGACCATAAGACTGTTCTCTCTTTAGAGAGAGATGACTGCAGGTGGTTAGACCTGAGGGGCACCAGACCTCAGGTGAGGAGTGAGGTTGAGAAGGAGAATCCTTTGTGGAACCTCAGCAGGTGCAGGAACTGAGCCCACACTGATGAAATCAGTCTGCATCACAAACCAGCCATCCAGCCAACTGAGCTAAACAACTAACCACGAGGAAAAGCAGGAATATCAAAGGAGATTGTGAAAGGACTGATAATTGAAGGGAACACCTGAAGAAGGACAGAGGGGAGGCCAGAGGCAAGGAGAAGGCTTTCTACAGCGATAGTAAGTGTGTTCTGTACATGTAGAGGGTCACAATCAGACTAAAAACAAATCAAACTAAAAATCAATATCCACTATTTTTCTCTTTATCATCTTGCAAAAGAAGGCCTCACAGAGAATAGGCAGTACAATGGCAGTGGCATAAGATCTGTTTGCATGTGTTACCGCACAATGCAAACACAGCCAATTGAGTGAAACAGGAACTGAAAAATCTTCTTGTGCATGCAGTCAGTTAAGGCTTTTGCACTGAAGGGAAGCACTGATTGCAGAGCAAAGCTGAATAAGCTCCACTAGCCCTCAAGGGAATACCTGATTCTTTTCTCTTTAAACCATTGTCTGTGTTTTTCCAATAATACCAAGTTAATTTGTTTCCTTTGCACTAGTGACCTCCTGTTCAGTTTTCTCTTTAGAGCATTAAAATGGAGTAATGAAGGATTGCAGAGGGTTGAACTTATATGACTCAAACCAACATTTGCAAATGTCCGATATTCATCTAGCACTGAATTGGAGAGGGGTTCAAATATGCCGATTGACTCCCAAAACTTAAACATTTCACTTACATTCCTGCTTCCCAGAAGGTATTGTCCTCCCTAAGGGCAGCAGGGAATGTTAGCCTCTGTGCTCCTTGCTACTTTGACAGCTATAACTGAGCTTCAGGAAGCCTGGTGACTACTTTGACAGCTTGTCTCAGATAATTTTGGTGGGTGCCTTCTGGTTGAATGAGGCATAGAGGCTTCCAGCCCGATAGGGATTTCCTGCATAGGTGCAGGTATAACCTCTTGGGCCTGACATGATGCTAGTGTTTGGGTCCCTGGCAGATGGAGGGATGGTGTAGTTGTGTACCTCTGGAGTGTGCTGTGATGACAGTGCTTGGATGCCTGTCTATCACTCCTCCTCTCTGTACCAATGCACAATGGCACTCCTTCACACCTTGAGTGAAAGAAGCACCAAGAAGGAGGTCAAGGTCCCCCCGCCCTCTCTCGCCTAGCTAATGAATGAATGCATCCTTGTGTTGAGTAAAGGGCCTCACACTCATCTGGCAGATTATGATTGTTCTGCTGTACCTGGCTCTCCACAGCAGGGCCACTCAGACAATGGAGGCAGCCATATGCTCATCAGACAGAACTTGGGCGGAGGCCTCTGCTCTGCTTTTAACTCCAAATGTACCTGATCTGGTACCTCTTAGAATCACTGCAGTGTGGAAACAGGCCATTCAGCCCAACAAGTCCACGCCAACCCTCTGAAGAGCATCCCACCCAGACCCGAACCCCCACCCTATCCCTGTAATCCTGCATTTCCCATGGCTAATCTACCTAGCCTGCACATCCTTGAACACTATGGGCAATTTAGCATGGCCAATCTACCTGACTTGCACATCTTTGGACTGTGAGAGGAATCTGAAGCACTGGGGGGAAACCCAGCAGACACAGGGAGAATGTGCAAACTTTACACAGACAGTTGCCTGAGGGTGGAATTGAATCTGGATCCCTGGCACTGTGAGGCAGCAGTGCTAACCACTGAGCCACCATGCTGCTGCCCACTGCCAGACATCCCCTGTATCCATTTGCATCACCATCAGTTCCGTAATAGCTGAGTCTAGAGGCTCATTATCTGTGCTGGGGCCTGTTTCCCAGCAATCCTATGTGTGTCAGAGACCATACCCATTTTTCTTGCTACAGCAGCAGGTCTGTCACTGTTGTGCTCACCAGAATGTGACCCTGAGCCTCCCATATACATTACCCACCAACGTGAATGTCTATGTTGGTGGGAGGGTAGGGTGTCTTAATAGTGCAACCTTTGAGACATTCATGTATCACCCAAGAGTATGAATTGTTTTCCTCTGTCCTGGCTTGGGAATGGGATGCAGAGGATGCACAGAAAAACACAAACAGTGTTGACAGCCACCATCTTGACCCAAGGTTTTATGAAGAGGTTGATGTTTAAAGGGCTGAGAACAGCAAATTGGAGGCTTGCTGGCCAGATGGTGCTGGATGTTCAATCTCCCCTTCATCACAGTCACAAGCCCCTTGCTGTCCTGCCAACTCAATGGCCTGCTTCTCAAAGACGAGGAGTCTAATGTCAGAACTCCACAAACCCCACCCCCACCTGGCTTGTACGTATTCATGTTTGTTTCATATGTTCTTTTCTTGCAGAAGGTGAGAAACATTATGATACATCAACATGGGTATATGACCACTTCGCTTGTATTTCGAGATACAAATAGCAATTTCAGCCCCTAGAGCTGTGATTGTCCATGTACATTACCAGTAAATTGGATGTGGTTTCTCATGAAGGAAATTACAAGTTAAGGGTTCTGAATGAAATATGGTACAATGTTGTCAAAGAAGATAGTTGGCGAAAATCAATATATTACTGTATTATGTGCGCTTGAGCTTCCCAAGATGTGATCACCCCAAGCCATCTCTTATGGTTGTGTCCTTGTTTCATGTAGGCCTTTGCTATAAAGCTATCAGATGTGCACATTTTTTTCATTGAGATGAAAGATCAGTGAGATGATGGTGTGTGAGCTGCTGAGTGTTGTTTTAAGTATGAACCCAGGCAGATGTTTGTACGTTAGCAACTGCATTGCAGTGAAGACATTGTTTGCACACGAGGCATCAGATTGAGGCAGTTGGCACTCAGTCTTGTGTGACTGTCTTGTGCAGTGGCATTCTTACAGCGTTAACTCACACTAATGAAGGCATGAAGCATTATATAGGCATTGGTACATACCCTGGCAGAGGTCAAAAAATTGTTCATCTTCTTGTAGCACGACAGCTACATTCTCATTAGTGACTCAAGGATACTGATATTCACAGACACTTCTCTCAGGCTACTTTCATCAGTTAAGATGGCCTCTTGTTGGAGGGAAAAAAAGTTTCCCTTCTCTCCTGGGCAACCTTAAGGGGAATCTCTATACAGTCATCTTTAAAGTGCAGTGCCAATTTTTGCTGGTTTCTGATATTTCCAGGGGTGTGTGGGATGGTGGGAAAAGATTGTGCAATTTTTCTAGGTTTCCAAAGAGCGAATCGGTGGCCTTTTACAAGTGGTGCCTGCAGGTTGGAGCCCCAAAGGTGGCGGAGGGCAGAATGTCTTGCCTTCCCACCCATAAAACTTGGACATTTTATCTATTGCTGCATATGTAATGAGCTTTAGAAGAACATAATTGTGCAAAAGAAATTGACAGACCCTGAAATATCACCTGTTTGTAGGCCTGTCTCTACATCTGGTCTCAAACAAACATGATTCCACCCTGAGAGCTGACGACTCTTAAAAGACTGTTTGTGTATCAGCTGAAATTCTAACCTGACAATGCAATGTGTTGACTTGTAGGTGGATGATCAAATGAAACTACTGCAAAACTGCTGGAGTGAGTTGTTGGTACTGGACCATATCTGTAGACAAGTACACCATGGGAAGGAAAACAGTCTTCTTCTGGTGACAGGCCAAGAGGTAATGAACTTTACAATGGTTCCATAGTAGAATGGTGTCTGACTCATTATTCAATAAAAATACAATGTTTGACGGAGGATACACAGTAAATTTCAGTATTAATAAGGGTTACATCCACTAAACCTTTGGTGCTTTATTGCAAGGAATAATTTTCATTTACATATCTCCTTCCCTGACCACAGGATCATAAGATCATAAGAACTAGGAACAGGAGTAGTCTGTTTGGCCCCTTGAGCCTGGTTCCCCCACCCCTCCCCCTTGTAAAGTCCTTTATGGCCTGTGAAACATTTCTGGAGTGCAGCCAAAATTGCATTGTTTGCAAACTAAGCTAGTTGTTGGTTTTAATTACAAAATCAAACCTAAGATGTTTTCTACCCTTCTTCCATATCTACCCAAAGCTTTTCTGGCACACTTTTTTTGGCCAAGCAGCTGTTTGGGCATCAACAGAGGGGCCATGCAGGCACATGCAGTCCAAAGGACTTGCTTCTTCCTTGAGTTGACTTGGTGGAGACTGCACCAGTCCATTCTCAAGGAATTTCTCAAGGAAGTTCTATTTTTGGTCAATTCAGCCACTCATTTAATAATAACTATTTTAAAACCATCAGGTGTATTCTTTTTTGGTGAGCTTGATATTTTTGGGGTGGAGCAGAGTTGTCCAGTTCGTCAGCTCCATACAATTGAGGAAACGATTGGGAGCAGGTTCTTTATGTTGTTTCGCTATCCCCAGTTTAGGATGAAAAAAATCTAGGTTTGGATTCTTGTTGATTGAGAACCAGTGACTATCTGACTGCAGACAACTCATGAAAACTAGATCAGATTTGGCCAGCAGTCAAAGATTTGCATGTACTTTATAAAGTTTTGACTATTCAGAACCCAAATAAACCATAGTCTCATACTTCTTTTATAAATAGACCATCATTACGTCTTAGATTAACATTAAATGAAGTGTCACTGCACTCCTGTAATTTTTTGTTTTTTCACATGTATATTTATTACAGTTTATATTGCTGTTTTAATATGAACACATATCATTGCATTTCAGACATGTTGACTCGCAAAAATGGTATAATGTCGACAAAATAAAACTCTTTTAGCAGACGCAAAATAGTCAAGTAATTCTTTGTAAATTCCTTATGTGCTGGACTGTCTTGTTTCTGTATCAGAGAAAAACACTGATCTACAGATAGACTAAATGTGGCCACAAATCATAGTCAAAAGCATTTGCGATAGCTTTTCAGCAAACCTCAGTGCACTGCAATAACTTTAAGTCCATAGTTTCCCACACGAAAGTTCGATTTGATGCTCATGTTTATAGTAGTTGGTTTGGGAAACAGTCACCACTAGGTAGACAATATAAATTGCTGTTAATTTTAGTTGAAAATGATCAGCGTTCTGTTTTAAGCATAAAAGTAACAAAGGCTAGAATTAACACATGAATCCAATTAATTGCATTCCTAAACCTGTGAGAATTCTGTTACTTATGGTTTGTAAAACTTATTAATTGTTTTAAAACTTCAAAAACTTTAAAGTTTCAAATTCTCAAAATAAAATGGAGTCCTATAAGTAATGTCCAGATGTCTGGCAATGCTAGTTTTGAGCAGGTCAGCAAATGACAAACAAATGTTGACTCTACCCCATCACCATTACTTTTCTTTCGGTGCTTGAACAAACACAAAATGCAACCCAAGATAAATGTCTCTTGCTTTGTATGCACAATCCTTTCTTTGGCAAAATTAATGAAATGAGAAATATAAAATTCATAACAAAAACCGAAAGAAATGTGGATGCTATAAATCAGGAACAAAAACAGAAGTTGGTGTAAAAGCTCAGCAGCTCTGGCTGTATCTGAAGAAAGAAATCAGAGTTAACATTTCATGTCCAGTGACCCTTCCTTAGAACTGATGGTCGCTCGTAAAACCTTGGTTTATATGCAGAAAATAGGGTGGGATATGGGGTAGGGAGTAAACGATAGGATAGAGCCTGAAGAGACAGAAGATCAGTTGGATAGACAAAGGAATTGATAACGATCTGGCTAGGAGGGTGAATAGTTGTTAGTGGGGACTGTTAGTGACTCACAATAGATAGTGTGTAATGGCAGGCTATTGATAACAAGGCCTGGTATGTGGCATAGGAGGCTAAGACATGGGAGGGTTTAGGCCCTAAAATTGAACTGCAAATTAATTTTAGGGCCTAAACTCTTCCATATCTTAGCCCCCTACCCGACACACTAGGCCTTGTTATCAATGGCCTGACATCACACACTACCTATTGAGAGTCACTAACAGTCCCCACTAACAACTATTCACCCTCCAAGTCAGATCGTTTACAAACTCCATTGTCTATCCAACTGCTGTTCTCTCTCTTCAGGCTCTATCCGATCATTTACTCCCTACCCCATATCCCGCTATTTTCTGCATATAAGCCGATGTTTTATGAGCTACCATCAGTTCTGAGGAAGGGTCACTGGACCTGAAATGTTAACTCATATAAAATTCCTAGTTAATATTTAGTAGAGATAATTTTAACTTTGCGCAATAACAGACCAGGCCCGTACTGAATAGTTTTTCAGCTCTCCACAGATGTAATATTTAGAGCGGGAGGGCACAGGAAATCTATAAGGCAGACTTGCCAGAAAGTTCTCCCACCAACCCCTTTTCCCAGGAACACATCGAATGCAATGCCAGCAACCTGGAAAACAATTGAGGTTGTCCAGGAAGTAATTAACAGTTGGAATTTTACCTGTAGTGTATGGGACGTTTGCAATGTCTGTATTCTGTAACTAGCCAACTCCCAAGAAGCGAGTGCACAGCAGAGGTCAAGAATGAAAGTGACATACAAGCTGAAGTTTAAATGGTGATAATGGCATGCTAAAGGCCATTTGTAAACAGAGGCTGACAATTAAATTACTATCTCATTGAGACTGCTATCAGTCAGCGCTCAGGGTGAAGAAATATTGGCCAGCTCCTTCATCCTCAGCAGCAACCCTCTGAATGCACCAGCTGTGAAGGCTGCTTGCACCCCTGTGTGTGGTGATTTACCCTCCCATTTCATTAAGCTGCTTGCAGTCCTTAGTTGAATGGTAGTCTTGGAGGCAGGTTCTGAATTTGATACCTTCTGGAAAATTGAATGGGAAACATTCAGTCCGTTTGTACGTCTTGGTTTATTTCCTGAGAGAATTCTTCAATGTAATTGGCCACGTGTTCTCTTTGATGAGATCACAGTTGCTGGAAACTCCTTTGACTTGGCAAAAGATTCTCTGTATATCTCTCCTCCTCTAATAATTGTTAATACTAATACTCTCTTGAGTTTAAAAAGCAAAGAGTTACTTCCCCTGAGTTCAGATATAGTTGCCTCTGCAAAAGTCAGGATGGAGATAGGAGTAGGGTGAATGTCACAATGGGGAAGGGACACCCCAGTGGTGGGAGTGAATGGTGGAAGAGAAGGAGTGGGGTTTTGTTGGAGAGGTGAGGGAAGGAGGCAGACTGCCGTGACCTGGGAGATGAGTGCAGGCATTGGCATTGTCACAATCAGGAAAGGGGTCTGGGAAGGAGGATCCAAGCAGGCTATCCTGCTGGCCTTCAGTCCGCAAGCCCCAACCCTCATTATCAAAATTGAAGCCACCCTGTGAAACCTGGGAGGTCTGTAGAGTGGCCAGTGAGTGTGACAATATAATGAACAGGGAACTATAAATCATGGGGACAGGTAATAAGACAAGTTTAGAAAGATAGCAGGAGGGCTCACTGAGAGAAATCCTGAATGAAATTTGCCAAAATCGACACTTAGTGGATTTTTGATAAAATTCACCATAATACTATCCTTCCTCTAAGAAAAGCAGGATTTCAGGCAGCGTCATCTGGGTGCATCTTCTATCAAGGAGTGTGTTACTTGATCTAATGTATGAAAATGTTCAGTTTTTTAGCAGTGCAATTCTGTACAGCAACAAGCACAATAAACTGCAAAAACTCTTTTCTCATTCAGGTTGAGTTATCCACAATTGCCAACCAAGCTGGAGCAACTCTCATTAACTTGGTATTGAGAGCCCAGGAACTGGCAGCTAAACTGCAGTCTTTACAGGTCGATAGAAGGGATATTGTCTGCTTTAAGTTTCTCCTCTTATTTAGTCCTGGTAAGCAACATACTTTAATCTTATTATTAAACAGTGAAATAGAACAACTGTATGCTTGCATATTATCTGGTCAGTTATAGGAAATTATATTCAGTATGGCATGAAGTCATTTAACCAAACTTCCCCAAAAGGAAAACATTCAGTTTGAGCTGACCATCCATTTTGCACTGGTATGCTTTTCTTCTTCATTGAAATTAACCCAGGACTAAAATTGAACAGGTAGAAAGCTGGTGTTCTGTTGGATATTATCAGTTACCTGCTGGGTGAATTAAGTTACTATTTCTCCCATACATTCTCTGAAATCCTAGTAGTAATGTCACTGGCCTAGTAATTCAATGACCAAGGCAAATGCCTTAGGAAAATGGGTTCAAATTCCAACTGGGGGGAATTTAAATTGATTAAAAAATCCAGAAGTGAACGTTAGTCTCAGTTATGAATAACCATGAAACTATCACTGATTGTTGTAAAATCTCATCTGGTGCATTAATGTCTTTTAGCGAAGGAAAAACTACTGTCCTTACCTAGCCTGTGTGTGACTCCAAACCCATAGTAATATGATTGAGTCTTAACTTTCTAGGCCATTTTGAAGGAAAGTTATCAAGTTCAGGGGCAGTTTGGAATGGGTAATAAATGGCAAGGGACACCCATATCCCATGAATGAATTATTTAAAAAGAATAAAATATCTTCAGTTACGGAATATCAATAAGTGGTTGATATCAATTGTAGACACCTCTGCCCTACTAACTCAACAAAAATATTTTATTTACAGATTTGATCTGAGACCATTTGAAGTATACATTAATGTGTTTGTGCAGTCCAGGCCTGACCTTTGGAGTAATTTAATGCTTAGAGTAGCTCTTACTGTATTTAATGAATCATAGGAAGCTCCTGAACAAATGTTAATTATTTAAACAAATTGTCTTCTTTAAAAATTATAAAACACAACAAATGTGGAAATTACCTTTTGGATTTTGAAATAAAATATTTCGAATATTTTCAATATTGAAACCCAATATTTTATGACTTCAGGCTGTTACAAGATGGGTTGATTGCTATAATTCTTGCAAGTTTTCTCTTTAAAAGTAGATAGTGGTAGTGGAACCGAAACAAGCAGCCGTGTTTCGGCTTAGTACAATCGGGATGATTATGTCTGTTCTAATGTGCGTCAGCTGGATGACTTTTCCAAACCCGTCATGTCTTTGGGTTGCAGTTGTTGGCTTTTTAACCGCCAGAAAGTCTCTGGTAAAACCAGCTTTGTCTTTGTGCACATACCTATTCCTCTTAGACAAAACAAATATAACTGTTACTCAGAACATTTCACTTGATTTTGAGCTAAATTTTGGCAGTCCTGAGGGTGTCAAGGCACAACAATATTAAATAAAGTATGATCTAATTAAAGGTACAAAGTGAAAGCTTGCATTTATTTAGATAGGAACAAGAAAGTAGAAATAATATAAAGTGTCACAGAACCTTCCTATTTGGAATTGGTGGTATCCATAGATGCATTCGACAAATATTTCACTTTCCTTTTAGTAACCATAATTAGACAAACGTTAATTTTTTAATCACTAATGCTGTGGACGTGGCACAGACATTGAATTGTATTCCCAGATACTGTCCTTTTAATGTTTATGAAGTCTAACTTGTCCATTTTGGATTTATAAATATTTGGCTTTGAGCACTAATTTGTCATCAAACTTAACCTAATTTTTAACTGAAGAGGCATACAAACCACTGTGATTTTGCTGAGATTGGAAATTGTGTGTGCATCTGTGTGACATCTGAGTACTTCTGCCACATTTTCAACAAATATGATGAGCAGCTTCTCTCAGCAGTCTGTTAGAAATGACTGTCCATATATGCATGAAATAGAAGCCTTGAGTTTGAAGAAACGGTGTACTGACTTTGAGTGAACTACAGATTGTTAAATCTTGTTGGCTTGGGAGAAGAGATACAGGTTATTATTGAGGTAGTGTCTAAAAGTTATATTAAGACAGTAATGATAAGTCCCAGAATGTGGCAGTACAAATTGTTCTTCTCAATACTGTATCTTAGTTTAAAAAGTGGTGCTCACTATGCTGCCTTTTTATCGTGCCCTTTATAAGTGCCTCTCCTGCTGGTCAAACACAAGGTTGTGTTAAAAGGTTTGCAGCCCATTACACCCAAAGCAAGTCAGCATGGAGAAAATAAAAAAAAACTGTAAAATAAAGTTAAAGTCAGAGAATCAGCAATTTCAAAGGTCTGTGACCTGAGGTGTCTACTATTCTATCAACAGCAAAATAATTAATATAGATTCCACCCCTCACTCTGTCCCCACCATGACCATATTACAAATCTCAAAAATGGGATCTTTTTACTATTAAGGGTAAGTGTCATATGAGTAGTGGCACAATATAGGCATCTACCCAGCAGAATCAGGGGGTCAAGAAGTTGGAAGCACCCTTGATTCAGAGAAACTGGGAGCAGAAGTAGACCAGTTGGCCCTTTTGAGCTTGCTTCACCATTCAATTATAATGGTGGTTGATCCCCAATCTCAATAACCCCACCGCCCACTCCCCTTCATGCCTTTAAAATCCAAAGAAAATCTGTTGAATATTTTCAGTGACTTGGTTTCCATATCCTTTTATAGTAGAGAATTTCACATGTTCACTGCTCTCTCAGTGGAGAAATTTTCCTCATCTTCATCCTAAATCAACCCTGTATCCTGAGACTGTGACCCCTGGTTCTCGACTCCCGACCCACGGAAATGTCTCCCTGCATCTAGTTTGTTCAGCTATAGACACCAGAACCCTTCTCATGATTCTAAACACTGACTACAGACCCACTCAAGCCAATTTCTCCTCAGAGGACAATCCTGCAATCCCTGCTATCAGCTTTGTGAACCTTTGCTGCACTCCCTCTGTGACAAGTATGTCCTCTCTTGGGTAGGGAGACCAAAACTGCATGTATTACTCCAGATGTGGTCTCACCAAGACCCTATAATTACTGCAGTAAGACATCCCTTCTTCTGAACTCAAATTCTCTTGCGATGAAAAGCAATTTTTTGTGAGAGGTAAAGAGAAAACTCACCTCTTCAGTCACTTCTTCATGGCAGGCCTCAACAATAGCTGTTGTTTGATCCTATGCGTACTTTCTGACAGAACTCCCATGGAGGTAGAAAGAGTCCCTCAGCCAAACTCCCAAAAGTGACATTGAGGCAGATTATACAAATGTAATTGATGGTCAGTTAGCTCAGCTGGCTGGGGAGTTCAGATGGAGAGCAGAGGCCTTGCCCCATTTCAATATTATAAATGTGTCGTGTGAGTTCTGTTAACCATTCTGGCTAAGTGAATCCCTTTCCCCCTTACTCCATTTGTCTGGACTTCAGTGCCACTCTGAACAATTTCGGGTAGATTGGGACTGAAAATCAACTTTGGCAGCGACACAAGACAGGGGATTGAAACTCAACCATTCATATGCATTTTGGCTGATTTTGCTTTCTATTGGCTTTCTTTGCAGAGCTCCCTGACTTCTACTTGTAAGATCAGTAATATTGACTATAATCTATCAATACTGGATATCAGTGGAAAGGAAGTTGGGTGGGAAGATGGCTGATCTGCTAGTACCTGTTTTGTTCTCTTGCCCAAATTAGATTTTACTCATGCCCCCTTTTATGTATTACTTCTTTAGTGATGACGTGTGGTCTCCATTTCTCTCATTCCATCCGAATTGGGTGTATGTCTGAAACAAAAACAGAAAGTGCTGGAGCAATTCAGCTAATTGGTAGCATCTATAAAGAGATAAACATAGTTACCTTTTTGAGTCCAGTAATCCTTTGTCAGAATTGAGAAAAGCTGGAAAAGGTGGTATTTATGCTGATGATTGGGAGGGGGTATGGGGTGAGAAGTGAATTTGGTATGAAATGGTGCCCAGAGGGAGAGAGAAAAAGAAATAGGTAAACAAAGAGATTTGTTCCCAGTTTTTCGGAGGATTCTATATTATTATGGAGGATATTTGGATTCTACATATACGTAACCATTAGTTTTATAAGATAGCCAAAGAACTTTCACCCAAGCTTCTGCCATTATTGCCAGAAGGTGACTGTCCAACCAGTCTCTTTAAAATTGAATATCATGTAGGAAAAAGGAGAACTGACACAAACCTCATTAGCTTATCTGTCACACATTATTTCGTATTACCACACAACCCAGTCTACAATTGTCTCAAGCACCGCAAATAAGACAGAATTCTATTTGGTAATTATGTTCTGCATATACTCCTGCTATGCTATGAATCACTGCAACCACGTTTCTCTCCTGAAATGCCAGGGAAGAATGACTACGTTCTATACATGTAAGTTGCATTTCATCAGCCCTTTTAGCCAATAAGTGCAGAATGTCATCAAAACCAGAACTGAAACATTCAAGCTAACAAGGTGTAGAGCTGGATGAACACAGAAGGCCAAGCAGCATCAGAGGAGCAGGAAGGCTGACGTTTCGGGCCTAGACCCTTCTTCAGAAATGGGGGAGGGAAAGGGGGTTCTGAAATAAATAGGGAGAGAGGGGGAGGTGGATAGAAGATGGATAGAGGAGAAGATAGGTGGAGAGGAGACAGACAGGTCAAAGAGGCGGGGATGGAGCCAGTAAACGTGAGTGTAGGTGGGGAGTTAGGGAGGAGATAGGTCAGTCCAGGGAGGACAGACAGGTCAAGAGGGTGGGATGAGGTTAGTAGGTAGGAGATGGGGGTGGGGCTTGAGCTGGGAGGAGGGGTTGGTGGGAGGAAGGACAGGTTAGGGAGGCGGGGACGAGCTGGGCTGGTATTGGGATGCGGTAGGGGGAGGGGAGATTTTGAAGCTTGTGAAGTCCACATTGATACCTTTGGGCTGCAGTGTTCCCAAGCGGAATATGAGTTGCTGTTCGTGCAACCTTCGGGTGGCATCGTTGTGGCACTGCAGGAGGCCCAGGATGGACATGTCGTCTGAGGAATGGGAGGGGGAGTTGAAATGGTTCGCGACTGGGAG